AACAGGGACATAAGAGGCCTGTCAAATGTGCAAAGGCAGCTCATTCCACAGATTTGGTGCAGCCACCACAAAGGCTCTGTCCCCTCTGAGCTTCATTCTTGTCTTTGGCACGCTCAGGAGGAGCTGGTCAGCCGACCTGAGAGACAGGAGTGTGCGGGAGTGTAAGGATCAGAGAGGTACAGCTGGACGGCACCTTTCAAACCATGTTTTAAAGATCCTATATTACACAAAATTGACTCTTGTGAGCTGTAAACCATGTTATAAAGTTGTTAGCCCATAAACAAAAACTAAATTTTCAATGTTTCATTCACACATGTTAGAGTAATCCTTTATCATTAGTCAAGCTATATTTCCAAAGCTCAAAATGATCTGTTCCATGTAACGTAATGTAATGAAGCGGTAATTTTCAAGTTAACAACAACCTTTTACCTTTAGTTCAGTAGAAATAGGCAAATCCAGGGCTGAAATCATCCAGATGGTTCTAGTGAAGGTGTATGGAGTTTAAAAGCACAATGAAGCATTTCCTGTACTACCATATGACATCACAAGGTGGAAAAGAGTATTTTCAGTTTGAGAGAAGAACCCATCCTAAATATGCAGGGTTTGTGTGTTAAACATGTGGGAATGAAACAAAACACAACACCAGGTATGTTTTTGATGAGGCAACAAGATTATAATATAGATCAGAAAATATTGTAATATGGCCCTTTAATGTTTTTAGTCTCAAAACAGGATACATTATAAGTTGATATTTAATATTTCATTCCAGTCTGGTCCACTTCAGACAGTCTGTGAAGTGCTACAAGGCTTATATTTGGATTAAGTAGCATTCTACAAACCAAATAAAACAAGTGAATAATTTGCCTGGCACTAAAATGAACATTCTGCTCTCTGGTGGATGTGTTTTTAGTAGAAAAAAAAACAGGCAACCTGAGGCATTAGAGCACATTTGAAAAAGGACCAATTGGGAATATGCAGAGTGGACAAGAGCTTCTTTATGGCTGTTTCTCTTATGGAGCGCCTCATGGTCTGCAATGGCCATCAAATCCATATATTTAACAATTAACTGGGGGTGTATTTCTATGTATTTCTATGGCGGGATGTTCAGCAGTTACCTTGGAGACACAATTCACACATTAGAAATAACTTTTAAAAAAGATGAAAGAACAGATAGATTTAAATAACACATTTTCAGGAGGCTGTAATAAATATAAGCATTCGTGGTGCTTTATTCGTGCACACTAGTCAAATTTTGTGTTCTTCAAACCAGTGAAGTGCTTTGGTTCGCTTTGTGACAGAAGCTTAAAGTTTTAATGTCACTTTAAACATATGCTCGCTCAACAATGACAGGCCTCTTCAGTTTAGCTGCAGGGGCGTCTTCTTGTCCAACTTACTGACCTTCATACCCCAAAAGTTTGTTGTTATTTCATGTTTATGTAATTCCCCAATTTGGTAATCCTGACCAAACCTCTTTCTAGATCTGGAGATGCGTCCCCAGGTGCTGCAAACTGCCAGGTGTCTCCATTGACTGAAAAGTGATCAACTGTTCTTACAGGGAATTTTAATCTACTAACTTTAGTTCTTTGCAAATAGAGTAGGGCCTAAATGTAGGAAATGTATCAGTATGATGGTGGGGCCTTGCCTATATCAAATATCTGGGGCGCACTACTTCAGAGACCGCTGGGCATCAGGAGGAGTGGTCACTCTGCAACCTGCCAGATCTGTAGACAAGTGACAGTTCTGAAGATGTTGCTATATAATAACATCTCCTACATCTCCTAAATGTAATGTAATCTTGAAGGCCCGTATTACGCTATTTTCAAATCTATTAAAATGTTGTTTCCTGTTGAGTTTTTTTTGTTGTTGTTTCATTCACACTTGTTGAACACACAAACCCTGCAAAATTTAGGCTGAGTTCTTCTTTCAGACAGAAAACACTCTTTTCCACCTATAGTCTAATGAGATACATTTGGTCTTCCAATATTTTATGTTATTAGATTTTTTTCAGACCAAGGGTTTGTTTTCATACCTGACAGTTTCGACTGCTCACTAGCGGTCTTCCTCAAAGTGGTCAAGTGATGTTGCTGTGAAGTGTCTGGTCAGCTAATTTATACAGGTTTTGGTGCTGTCTTCCTACCGGTGGAGGCAGGATGACAGCTCCATCTGCAGTCCAGCTTCCTCAGGACAGTATCCCAGGTATGTGAGAGTAAAAAAGCCCCCTTGTCCCGGTATATATAGTCCCATGGGCACGTTTCCGTATTTCCATTGCCTCTTTAATCCAATGATGGTGTTTGTTTTCCTCTTTCCCAAACAAACACTGTTGGCACAACAACATCACGTGACTCTTTTCCACCTTTTGATGTCATGTGGTAATATAAGAAGTGCTCCACTGTGTTTTTAAACTCCGTACACCTTCACTAGAATCATTTCAATTATTTCAGACCTGGGATTGCCAGTCTCTTCAAAACGAAAGGTAAAAGGTAGCTTTTGACTTGAAAACTACTACTTCACAACATCACAAGTTGGAACAGAGCATTTTAATTTTTGGAGATGTAGACAGACTAATAATTCAGGATTACTCAAACATAACTCCAGGCATGTTTTTTGAAGAGTTAACAACATTATAACATGACTTAAACCTCACAAAAGTCAATTTAGCATAATGTAGGACCTTTAATGCTTTGGTTCTTTCTCTCTTCTTCCATGATCCATTTTTCGTCATCATAGTCGAACCAGTAGGGGGCGACGCACAGCATTTCACCACTCATTTCACACCAGCCACAGCCTTTCCCATGTCCAAATGTCTCCTGCCTGCTGTCTTCCTCCTGACGTTCATTAGACTAATTTAACCTGGCCACTCTCCCTCTCTCTCACAGCGAGTCTGATGTAGCCCTATACTGCTGTTACCATCTGCTCCCCAGCTCCCTGCCAGCTATAGGACCCTCCTGTCAGAACAACCAATCCACAAGGTGCCTTCATCACTCACATACAAGGACAGTGGGGATGCCTCGCTAAACTGAATCACTTCGGCTCTCCCTTGGCACCCCCTAACCTGAGGAGTGTAGCGTTCACTTGTGATGGTAATGATGGGACAGGAATACGCTGACAGGGCGCTTTGGCGTGTAGCAGTTTTGTGTTGCCGTAGTTACACAGCTGGCAGAGGAATTATGCGTGCGGGGGGAGCAGCAGCAGTGTGGGAGAGGTTAATATCATTTTGGCTAAACTAAGTTGTGGTGACGGACAGACCACCTGTTCAGCTCTGGAGGTGGTCTCTCATCGTCTAGTGGTCCAGACATCTGAAGGTCGAGTGCTGTTAAGATTCCAGACTGTAAAGTAGTACATGATAATAAAAATGGTTCTAGCATTTTTTATTTAATTTTTTGCTATTGAAGTTTAATATTATTGATACATTTGGAAGAGACTAAACTGAGCCTTTCTCAACCTTTAAAAGATGCTTTGTAACTAGATATGTAATGATTAACAAAAAAATAAAATACTGACCTGGCATGTATGTTTTTCAGTTAAATGCTGTGCAAACTTCAGCCAAGGATGTGAATGTTATCTCTCTCATTCAGAGTGTGGTGAAATCAATTGCAGTGAATAGGAAAAGTGAGACTGCCTTTGTACTGTTTTCAGAATAGGGCTGCACAAAGTATTGCGAAAATTGCTAACCTAATATTTATATTGGAAGAAAAGATAGAACACAGGAAACAGTAAGGGTCTCCATTTGACAGAGACAGAGTTTTCTTCTTTTTTTAGATTATTTGAAAATTTTAATGATTTGTTCTTTTGTGTGTGTGTGTGTGTGTGTGTGTGTAGGCACAGGAAATAAACTACTAAATAACTTAATTGGCATTTTATTTCAAACATACTTCATACTTTCTGTATATTGAAATGTTTCATTTTAACATTTTTAACTAAATATTAAATATCATGTCACACTTTTAAAGGGCCCATTACACTATTTTCTGATGTTATAATGTTGTTTCTTTATTAAATACATACCTGGAGTTGTGTTTTGTTTCATTCACACATTTAACATATCAACCTGCAAATTTAGTTCTTCTCTCAAACAGTAAACACTGTCATGCAGTATTACAGGAGCTTTTTAAACTCCATACACCTTACACACATACATGAATAATTTCAGACTTGGAATGGCTAGTCTCGTCTGAACTAGAGATAAAACATAGTTGTTAATACAAAAACTACAATTACATGGCATCACAAGGTGGAACAGAGCATTTTGAGCTTTCGAGATGAGGACAGACTAATAATAAAGGAATACTTAAACATGTGTGAATGATGAGATAACTACATTATAACATGGCTTAAAGCTCACAAGAGTCAATAGCATAATATAGGACCTTTAGAAAACATTGTGCAGTCCTAGGTCTGGATGTGACACAATCTAATATAATCTTCAAACACACACACACACGAGTAAGTAGTTCTTCCAGATGAATGTCCGCTAATCTCAGTCAGACTTTGGGCTGGTGCACAGCGAGAAAGAAGTGAAGGTCCGTGCCCCAGGGCCTGACTCTGATAGTTTGTCATGTGAAAATACTACTTAATTTCCCACTGGGTAGAAACTCATTATTTCTGACTTTATCTCAGCATTGACCTCTGTGTGCTCCCTCAGACATTATTGTTTTTTCCTTTTTGTAGCGGCCGTGACAGGGACCACCCTAAACAGTGAGATACATGAGGAGGAGGTGCTGGGTAAAGAATGGTTGTATATTTAATGCGGCATGGGCCTCAGCTGAGAGTCCTATTCACCTTTAATGTGAAACGCAGCTAGAACAATTATATTGATTTATCGCTGTCTCCTTTTCTCCACATGATGTATGAAGGCAATATGAGATGATATTGATAACGCATGACTAATAACCAGCACGTGTCAGAAAGGATTGCGTTTCCACATTTGTGTTGTAAATCAAGTTTTTCACATTTCTGAGGCATCACTAAGTTTTCTTATTCCTTTTTCCTGTCTGTTACAGTTTAATTTCGTGGGGAAGCTGTTGGGACCACGGGGAAATTCCATGAAGAGATTACAGGAGGAGACGGGAGTGAAGATGTCCATCCTCGGCAAAGGGTCCATGCGGGATAAAGAAAAGGTACCGCGCTCAAATGTATCTCACTCGGAGGCAGTGATTAAATCAAAATATTTACAGAACCTGCTGCTTGAAATTCAACCAGTGTGTGTAGAATTACCAGGAGAGTGGAACCCTAACTGAGATAAATAAGGCCAAAGTTGTAGCTTCCTCTTGACATCAAGAGCAGTGGCTGTGAGGAATGGAAAACACTGGCAACTACCTTGTGCGTACTGAGTGTGGATTTTTATTTTATTTTATTTTTTTTTCCTTTATCTTATTTGGGTAGTACTGTGTTACATTTACTTGGGTTACTTTTTAACAACATTGTACTTGTGTGAGTAGTTTTCAAACACTGTACTTTCAAACACTGTACTGTTCTACTTGAGTCATATATTTACAGCTACCAATGCATATTTACAGCTACTCTGAGCTACATTTATTTAAAGCTACCGTCGTCATGTTTATTTGATTTTTTTTCACTAGTAAATGTGAAACCTGTTCCCCCTCTCCCCTCCCCTCCCCTGGCCTTTGTTCAGGCTCACCTGAGCTCTCTGGTCTTATCACTATCACACTGCAACAATGTGGATAGCATATAGTGGAGTTATGTGAGAATGCTACATGGGTGGGTCAACCAGTCTAATTAGAGATGGTAGCTTTAAAGCTTTAAATGCACATTTGGGCTTCTTAGATTTTTTTATTTGTATAGTTAATTTTTTTGAAAAGACAATTCCAAACAATTACTTTTAGATTAATACTTTCTTGGAGCATTAATTGGTACTTCTTAATTAATATTATTTTGAAGTAACAGTGCCAATGGTACATAATAATGGTTTAAATTTGGCAGATCATAGTTAAGATCCAGAAGTTTTTGAAGGGTCCTGAACATCTGTGGGGAACACAGTAAAAAGAGTTTTGTGTTTTGTGGTGTAAACCATATATTCCCCTAGTGCAGGCCTGGAGTAATGGCTTGGCTTAGGTCCTGTTAACTGATTCTTCCATTGTATTTTTCTGAAGGCTTTGAATCTTTTGTTAAACCAGAACTCAAAGCTGTAACAATCCACGTCTGGAGTGTACAATTGGCCATCATGATGACCTTAACTTTAGCAAAGAAAATTTATGCACTACTTTCTCTGTGCGTAGACTTTTTAAGCCTGCACAGACACACATGAATAGAAAACACTTGAAGTGTGCATTTTAATAGTGTATTCTGTAAAAGTCAATTATGAACACAGCATAATGAATCTCTTTGCCCGAGTCATTTATCGCGGTGACTTGTGTCTCCCCTGAGCCGCACTTATCTGGAGCTTGTACACAGTGGCCAGGAGCAGTGTCTGGGATAAACACTGAATCCACTATTGAGTTATGTGGCTATTATTACTGTATTCCCTTATTCAGACATCACTACATGACAAAGGGCCTATAGGCTTACCTTGCCTTTGGTGGAACACTTGCTGCATTTGAATACATCCAGGGCCAAGGTACAAGAAATATTTATGAGCTCAAGGGGCAAATCATGATTAGTGATAAGCAAGCAATAACATCTCCACAGACACAGGTAAGTAGCATACCCTTCACCAGAAAAGTTGCGCAGTGCACCCTTACAGGAAATCTAAGATTTTAATAAATAAACATTGCAGACATGGATTCTCAGTGTATTTTTCACAGTACTCATACTGATGCAAAAATCCTATGCATTTTAGAGCAAGTCTGCAGAGGTCTACCCTGCAGTATTGTCATTGTCTTTACATAATAAGCTTAGATCTTTTTTGGTCATTTCAATTCAAAAATTCAACTGATTAACAACAAAAAGTGTAGCTCAAGTTGCTGTGATGTCTTAATGCTATTAGTGATTGGGTGGTCCTTTCCAGACATTATTGAAAAGAACTGATTTGTCCTGCATGAACTTTTCTTCTCACTGTGTAAACAAATATTTGCACAAGTAAGCCTTTCCTAAAACCACAGAATAAAATAACAAGCTAAAATGGTGGCTAATTGAAATGTGATTAAAAAGCAGAGGGGTCTGTTAGGTCGTGTTGTGGTTGGTTTCCCTGTTCCAAGGACTGTATAGTGGTGATACTGAGGGCACTGCAGTTCACTTCATAATGTGAGCTGTGCTTTGGCTGATGCTGGAGTTCATTTAAAATACTGGCCCTTATCCACTACAGTCATTTCTGTTTGCTCATGTGCAGACTTAATTTATGTTGAAAGTGTGGAGCTGAATAAGAAACAGAAAAATGAGCACTGTGTACTGATAGAGGCATGAGCTGTACAATGCAGTAACACTGGTGCAGTTACTTTAGATTCTTACATGCAGACCTCTATTTATTTCATACCTTGACAGTTTCTGCTGCACTTTGCCTTCCTCAGAAATGTCATATAATGTTGCTGTGATGTGTCTGGTCAGCTGGTTTAAACAGATTTTACATAAGAATCTAAAGGATAATCAGTACAAAAGACCTAATGAACCTAATTGGACTATTGGTGCAATTAACTGTAAAAAGAAAATCAAAATCTATTAGTAATACAGGAACAGAATTATAATGAGCTTGTAGAAGAAAATTAACAGTCCTGCCAACTGTACTTTCTCAAATGCTCTATTCAACAATAAATGAATTTCAATGTATTGATCAATGAATTATTTTGTGTTTCACAATATAGAATATAAAACAATCTGTTTTTTTTTTCTCAATTGTTCATGATATATTTGTTCATTTATTCTGTGAAATGTTGCTTTTCAGAATTAGTTTCCTTATTATTCTGTCATTATGTTTATAGACAAGCAAAAGGTACCAATTGGATTGGGTTGGATTTTTATTAGGGCAGAAACCAGTTAATCTGTCAACAGCAACTAACCGATGATTGAGATAGGTCTAATTGTCAAGTAATTTAGCAATGGTAGCTCAGATGGTTGGAGTGTTTGTTCACATATCTGAAGGTTGGCGGTTTGAATCCCGCTCTCAATATAAACATCATTGGTACAGGGGTTACATTCCAGCTTCCAGACTGCTTTTGTTGTGTCCTTGGTCAAGAAACTTATCCCTTCTTGCCCCCAGTGTCTGTATACACTGGTGTATGAATTTATGTGTGAATGGGTGAGTGGTTCCTTGATGTAAAATATTTTGAGTGCCTTTTGAGTGCATTTCATTGAATAATTACATTATGTGGACTATACACAGACTTCAAAACATGTCATAAGCTGGTACAAGAGGTTTTATGAAGTGTGTACATTTTTTTTTTATCAATTTACTCCATGAGGATGGCCTCAAGTGTCATCACTTTAGCCTTAGCCAAATTGAGTAAAGTATACTATATTAATTGATAAGCAAAATAATCATTGCAGCACTTTTTTGAAGATTCTTTATAAGATTATTAAATTATTAAAAATTGAGGATCATGGCTCTGTAGCGGACTGGCGAGTACGCCAGCTTCACAGCAAATCTTTGAACTTAATTCCCACTCAAGGCCAGTGTATGACTTTGCTGACATTCTGTCTTTGCACAGTTTTCCACTGGGTGTCTCTCCACCATGGGGCCTCTCTGGCCACATAAAACACTCAGCCAAATACCAGTAAAATCTGTGCCTAGATACCCTACTTTTTAAGTTATGTCAGTTAGTTTCTTTAAAATGCTGTTTACTGTCATATTTACAAGCAAAAGGTAGCATTTTGGTTGATTATTTGAATTTTCTTTAAGATTAAAATAAAAGTAAATGAACAATTATTACAGCAGAGCAATAGCAGTTGCTCTGCTGTCCCAAACAAATCTTTGCGCTTAATTCAAAGTGAAGGCCATTGTAGATTTTGCTAGGTTTTCCACTGGGTGGCTCTCCTCAGTGGGACTTTTCTGGCTACATAAAAAGGTCAGACAAATACTAGTAAAATAACTGAGAATGTGCCTAGATTCCCTTGCCACTGTTGCTAACGGTGTTTATCTCACCCCGAGTTTCATTTGGAGCAGTGAGCGCTGCTCTGTGCCCCTGTGAAAAGGCTGCCTGTGTAACAATCAGATTAGGCCTGGCTTTTGTGTGTGAGCTATTGATTTTGTGTACAGTTTGAGTTTGGTCTGGAGGACTCTGAGATGAGAGTGGCACCTAAAGGTCACTGCTGAAAAGCTGGGTTGCCATCGGAGACAGCGCGCCACCGGCTGAAGTGTTACAGACAGAGCCCCAGCCCCATTAGAAGCCAAACACATTTCACAGCTCGCCCGTTCATCCACTTCACCATGGCAACATCTCCAACACCTACTCATGTCCAACTTGTCTATGGACAGTATTACTCACAATGGACAGGTACAGCTGCATGTTACAATACAAAACACAAATGTACAACAATAAAGTATAGTTTTCAAGTACAGATCAACCAACATGGGTTTTTTCATATTTTTCAATTCAGAGATGGCCAATAACGTACCTATTAGTAGATCCATGTGAATTTACAAACTCATCTACAACTGCTTTACTTCAAACTGGAGAGCAGACAACAGTGTGTAGTCATATTTTGTGCAGTACTCTTTTTGTACTAACATGTTCAAATAAAACTTTATTCTTATGCCAGCTGCTTGGCCCAAACAAAATATTATTTTCTGACGAATAGCCAATAACCAAAACACTAAAAAGTATAAGGACAAATACAAAATCCCCTGACGGTTGGAGTCTTTCTACACAAACGAGCGATACTGGAAGTTTGTGAAAGATTTATAAGTGTGTTCAGAGCCAAAGTAGAAATAATATTAAAAAAAAAAACACTTAATATCTAATAGCCAATTTCAGGCAAGAATATTTGAGGACTATATGTGTTTTACCTTTTGAGTTTTATACTTGTATTTAGACATTTTGACTGGTCCTGCTGTAGTCTGTTAATCATACAAGCCGACAAAAGTGGGAGTGGGTCATTAGCCGACATTATGAGTCTGACCTCAGCCGTTTGACATGTGCAGAATCTATCGCCAGAAAGAGACGTTCAAAACCATTTTAATTAAGTGTGACTGGTCTCGAAAGGCGAAAAGTGACCCTGCAACTCAAGG